CGGGCTGCGGGGCTGAAGCACCCGAATGCGTGGGTGGGCGCGCGGGGCCGGAAGGCACCCGAATGCGTGGGTGGGCGCGCGGGACGGGGAAAGCAAGGCCTCGGTCTCCTGGGCGCCCCCGCGTCCTTGCTACCTGAGAGGTGATGCTGATGGCCGAGAGCTGGGGGCGGCCGTGGAGGGCCTGCACGGGGCCAGGTGAGGGTGCGGGGCCTGCACGGGGCCAGGTGAGGGTGGCGAGGGGAAGAGACTTTCCCGAAGGACCTGCGTCCACTGGTGGGGATGCTCCGCTAACACAGCACCAGGTGATGTCTCATGCGCTCTCTCCTCTTCTATTCAACGAAAAGCAAAGGCTTGTTTTGACGCAGGGTTTCCAGAAACTTGTTTCCATTGGCGCGCCCGACAGCTCCTGGTTTTCCCAAGGCCGTTATTACAGCCACAACCTGCCCTTGTTTGCAGTCAGTAACCTCTGCGAGATGGCGACCTCCTGGAGGATAGAAACCTTCTGTTAACTGCTGTTAAGCCTGGCGTCTAGCATGGTGCCCGACACCATAGACACATTTATTAATTGGTTGGAGGAATGGCATGGCGTGTTAGAGCATGAAAGATAGTATGTAACCAAAGTAAGAAAAATGTAGTGATAAGACTTACAGAGAAAATTACTTTGGAGTGCAGGTGGGATGAGATTGATTTGTCGGCATAGCAGCAAGGCCTGTGCGCTTCCTGTCCAAGGTGGGGGGCGGCGCTGCCTGCAGAGGTGTGGAGGTGCCGACATGCAGGGCAGATCCCTGTGAGCCTGGGTCGCAGAGCTGGGAGGGAACTATGCCCAACAGGTTGAGGGGCTGAGGGGGAGTTGTGAATGCCACGGGTAATGTTATGCTTCCCGGTGGAGTTGAAGATTATTTTTTTAATCCTCACCCATTGATTTTTTTCCATTGATTTTTAGAGAGTGGAAGAGAGAGGGAAGGACAGAAATATCGATGTGAGAGAGACACATCGATTGGTTGCCTCCTGCACGAGCCCTGACCAGGGTCCAGACAAGGGAGGAGCCTGCTACTGAGGAGCGTGCCCTTGACTGGAATCGAACCCAGGACCCTTCAGTCCGCAGGCCGATGCTCTAAGTCTATTCAGTGAGCCAAACTGGCTAGGGCGAGTTGAAGAGAGGAGTGATTAGTAGCGTACGGTGGGCAGGGTGGATGAATGGGGAGGCAGCTATGGAGTCATGGCAGTGGTCAAAGTGAGAGGTCCCACCAGCTGGCCCACACTGGTGACCAAGGGTTGTCACTGACCACAGGAGGTGGAATTGATGCTTTAAATCCAGGTGTGACTAGATCGTGAGCTATCTGGGGCAGGTGCCAAGGGCCGTGTAGATGTAGGGGCAAAGAAGGTTGGGCTTAGAGTCAATAGATGTTACATTCCTGCTACATGCTAGGTATTTTCATAAATGTTAGGTCATTATAAGTCCCCGGCAGGGTCAGAACCATCATCCTCAGTTTCCAGAGAAGGGAACCCAGGCAGAGTGTTCACACTGAATGAATGGCAGAACTGGGACTGAAATGAGGTCTTCAGCAGGCTTCACGTTTCTTGTTCCAGTGAGAAAGAGGTTTTAGAGGTGATAGGACCTTAGGAACTTTTTAAAAATCCTCAGCCGAGGATATGTTTTTATTGATTTTAGAGAGAGAGGAAGGTGGGGGAGGGGGGAAGAAAGAAGAAATGTTGATGTGAGAGAGAAACATCGATCCATTGCCTCTGGTATGCCCCAAAATGGGACTGAACCTAAAACCCAGGTATGTGCCCTGATGGGAATCAAACCTACAACCTTGTTTAAAATGTTTTTTTATTGATTTCAGAGAGGAAGGGAGAGGGAGAGAGGGATAGTAACATCAATGATGAGAGAGAATCATGATCTCCTTCCTACTGTGCACCCTCTACTGGGGATCAAGCCTGCAACCCGGGCATGTGCCCTGGCCAGGAATCGAACTGTGACCTCCTGGTTTATAAGTTGAAGCCCAACCACTGAGCCACACCAGCCGGGCCAACCCTCAGCCTTTTGATGTATGCAACGATGCTCCAATCAACAGCCATCTGGCCAGGGCAAGACTTCAGGAACTTTTGAGTGGTGAGAGCAGAGAGGCATGTGGTTGTCTGTAGGGAAAGATTTCCCTCAGCATTGCTGAGGAGCAAAATCTCTCTTGCACCCGTGTATCAGTCAGGAGACAGAATTTGATAGAAAAAGTTGTTAGCTGCCCGGCCTGTGTGACTCAGTAGTTGAGTGTTGACCTATGAACCAGGAGGTCACGTTTCAATTCCCGGTCAGGGCACATGCCTGGGTTGCGGGCTCAGTCCCCAGTAGGGGGTGTGTATGAGGCAGCTGATCAATGATTCTCTCTCATCATCGATGTTTCTATCTACCTCTCCCTCTCTCGCTGAAATAAACATATGTAGAGTTAACTAGATAAGAAGTTGTTAAGTAACCGAAAAGTTAAAAATGAACATGGTGGTGGCAGCTGCAGGAAACAGCTACCAGCCCTCTGGCTGAGGGAACAAAGGGATGAGGTTGGAATGGTTAAAATTTACAAGCTCAGAGGTGAGGCTTTTGCAGAGCTGGAATTCCAGCCTCAGAGGAGGGGGCGTGGCCCCAGTTGGGGCGGGGGTCTCTGAGCTTGGAGGGTCCTGAGGGCCTGGGAGTCAGACCTCTGTAGGTTGGGCAGGGTGATGAGGCTGGCTTTGCGAGTGTTGGCAAGTTGTAAGCTGGGTTCCTAGGCCGCTATAGGAAGGTTGCTCCTGCTTCCAGGGTGAAGTGTCGCTGGAATGATGCCTCGGGAGTAAGGAGGAGCAAAGCTTTTCCCCCTCCATCCTTGCTGAGTCTAACCAGGCAGAGCAGAAGTGTGGGTTGCAGAGTCTCAGCCCCCCACACAAAGGGGAGGAGGGAAGG